TTTCCCTGCAGAACTAAATAAAGAGTTTTCCACCTCATTTATCAGTGCTTTGTATATGACTGATCCGTGTATGCATCTGTATGATAAATTGGACACTCGCTTGTAATTCTGTGTTCCTTTGTGCTCCTCTCTTATAAATAACTAAAATGTACCATAAATAAATAAAAGGAATCTAGATAACTGCAGGCATCGCTGGAGGAAGGCTCCTCTGGAGTAGATGTGACACAGCACAGCCGAACATTTGTTGCCTACATCTGTGCTATCCCTGAAAAGTTGGACTTGAATATGCTTTGTAACACACACAAAAAAAACCCATCTCGTTTTCATAATTCCCACTTGATACTGTTTGTCAAAGCCTTTCAAATTCTAAAAGAAGCTAGTCTTCAATGTTATGGGTGTTTTGAGCCTAGAGCAACAGAATTATTGCAACAAAGCAAATTCTTCATGCAAGTGAGAAGAATATAAATGCCTGGACGGAACTTCAAGCAGCGGAATGTGGTGAACACATTTGAACACAATGTTCCGGTTTTCTTGTTTTTGCCAAAACCTCACCTTTCTCTTATCACAAAAAAGGCACACATTAACACAATCTCCCTCTCTGTGACAGGTTCACTTTGTCTCATCTGAGCTTCACAGGCTGGAATGAACACTAGGCAAAAAAAAAAAAAACTTCTTTCTCGCTCTCCAACACCATCCCTCCACCCTGCTTCACATCACAGAGTATTCCATGCTCCTTCCCTCACTCACTCTTTTTGCATTAAATGATACTGTTTATACACACCCAGCATCTATCATCCCATTTCACACTTCCCCCGGCTTGTTTATGTGCCGTGGGTGCTGGGGAGACATGAAGGCGCATTCTCTTTTCCTTATTTTCTCTTACTCCCCCTTTGCCACCCTTCCTTCTCTTCTCCTCTTCAACCGCTGGCGGCTGCTTGTGGCCATTGATATACGAGGGCTTATTAAACCCTGGCGGTCTTGTTTGATCTACACTAAGGGAGTTTGGGTCGGTGGTGAGGAAGGCTAGTAAAGACACAAGTCATTTATTCCAGTACTTGTTGTTTTATTCTCCTGGGTCTGGTGAAGACCCCGCTTGCAGCAGCTTCTGCCAACAGCTCGGTGCTGCGGCGCACTTTACCTCCTGCACCAGCGTTGTTTGGTAATAAATGTTTGCAAGTGCCGTGCGGGGGGTGACAAAAACACAAACGCTGCTGCGGTGTCCGAGTTACCCAAAGAGTGCAGTTATGGGATTTGTGCGGCAATCAATGACAGCCTGCCAGCAGCCACCAAATTGTTTGGTGTGTTAATGCGACGCACAAGAAAGCATGTTGGGAGAAACAAGAACTGAAGAAATCTTATTTCAAAACGTGTGCGCGGTGATGTCATTAATCAAAGACATGAGGTCTCCAGAGATTTTCTGTGGAAGCATGACGCTGCTACAGTTATGTAAAAGGACACATTAAATAATTTTTTTTTCGTTCTTGAGTGCAAATATTAACAAAAGCTCTAATGTTAATCCAGCTAGCAATCATTTAAATTAGATTCCGTTTCTCAGTTTGAGCTGTAGCCACACTTGGATACTCATTTATGGTATTAGACTAATGATTTTCCTATATAATCATTCTCACAGCAACTTTTCTTTTAACTATCAATGCTGTAGCTGACTGTGCAAATGAAAACACATTTCTTTAAACCAGGAGTCTGAAACCTTCTCAAAGTCATTTGCATCCTTTCTCCCACTTTCAGTTTGTCCCGAGACTCAAAATCAATTTGAAGCTTGCACTAAAAACAACACAGCTCTTTGGGTGCTATAGAAATGCAGCACAAGAATGTTTAGTCGATGCAACTAAAGAGCTTTCACAAGTTGTTGACAGTTATTGGGATTTCTGCATCAGAACAAATAAAAGAAAAAAAAAACTTTCATGAAGATTGAATTATTAGTTCCATTGATTTAAACAATAAAATATCAAATCCTATGTGATTCCTGTCTGTTTCTGTCTCAGATTACTAATATGAGTATTGTCCTGATGCATCTCAGTAATCCAGGTAGAAAAAAAATCAAAACGAAAAAAGAAGTAGGTCCTCTGGATGGGTTCTTCTTTAGTGAAACGTTTCGTCTCTCCTCCAAGAGTCTTCTTCAGTCTGATGAGTTTCAGGTGAAACTCAGCCTTATAAGCACTGCCTCCACATGGTGGACAAACAGGTTAGTCACATGCAAAAGAGGGCCATCACTTAACAATAGGTTTGATTAGTTCTATTGTTCATAGAGGGTCATGTGCCCCATCACCTGACCCATGTCGTGTTATGTGAATGTAGTGAATGCAAGCGGGGGTTCAACGTCCCCTTGTTTTTGTATGAGCATTCCACTTTAAATAAAAAAAATACACAGGTTTTCAACCTAATAAAAAATGAAGTAAACATAAAAATAAACTAGTTTATTTGATATTTATTTGTGGCTTACTGAAAATATTTTGTTAAATGCAGAAACTTTCATTTATTTACACATTTTGATCAAAAGTAAGCATTTACTTATAATACTTGAAATCTCTACATAGACTAGTTATATTTTTTTCATAAAATTTTAATCTAAAATGTAATTATTTAATATATTCAATATAATAATTAGGATACACTGTATTTCTCCTAAGCTTTAATGTGCTAAAAATGCTGAATTTTCTGGTGGACTTTAGAAAACGTTGATATCGTGTTGCTGGAAGTTGATCTAACCGGCTAATTAACTATTAAACTAAACTAACCAGTCCGTATTATTAGCATCGTTTTGCTAGCTAAGATTTGTTCAAGGATTTGAATAAAACGGCCTAAAATGGGAGAACAATTACAAAGCTACAGAGAGCTGCCGCTGAGGGATCAAAGAGCTGCAGGCTGCAGAGCCCTGCTCTAAACCAATATGCAGTAAAAGTGCTGCTGCAACATGAAGTGAGGAGGAACTGGTTTAGTAAAACTTTGTCTTTTTGCAAATGTTGCTAATAGTGTGGAACCATCAAAACCTGCAATTGTCTCTCCTGGCAGCTGTAAGTCAGAGGCAGCTTTGTATTGTGGATATGAGCTGAAGGGTTCGAGGCATGCCAGCATTAAAATGAGTTTTATTGACAGTTAGTCAATCAGACTGCATTGTTTGTGCACTATTTGCTGTGAGAGTAAACTGCCAAATTTGGAAAACAAGACATGCATTTTGCATAAGTGTTCGAAATCAGTTCTCAACAAAAAGGTTAAACTCACTAACTAACAGCTCCTGGAGTAAAGTTTGAACAAACAAAACAATCCAGTTCAAAAAGTGAGCGTGTGCTCCTCAATTTGTGTAGTGTACAGAAAGAGACCAATTCTGAGCTGCAGTCATCCAACATGCAGGTACAGTGAGAGTCTTGTGCAGCGATGGGATTTGGGCATCTCCTTTGAAGTCAACTATATCATAGCTGCCCAGCATGGCCTCCTTTGCACGTCCATCCCCATCTCAAAGTGGAGGAGTGAGGGATTACTGGGGGAGGAGGGGCTTTGGGGACATGTAAAGTAGCATTTCAGGGGAATCAAGCCTGCTTTACAGACTCTCTTGGCCCCGTGACCAGGCGCTCGTCTCCCTCTTAACTCCAGCCGCACTAATCAATCTCCTCTGCTGTCTTCACGGTAGAGGAGGATGTGAAGAGGGAGTGAGGCGCAGAGAAAAAGGAAAAAGGAGCTCAAAGGCGGCAGTAAAGAGAAAGAAATAGGTGAAAAGTCTAGGATTTGGTTTCAGACGTAGAGCACTCACACTCTCTGCCTTCTCCGGCTGCCCAGGGCCCAGCTACTGAATATGCATGTCCCGGGTAGTGCAGGAGCCCAGAGCAATCGCAGACTCTCATTCCTCCTGCAGTGAAGTTTAGCCCAGACCATCCCATAGAGAGATGGGCCTTCATGTTAGTGCTGCTTGACAAGTGCACAGTGCCTCCACTTAGAAAGCCCAAAGTCTTGTATTAGCATTGTTAAGACATCTGCGTGGGCCCCTGCTGCTAGCACAAATGGCAGAGCGGGATCTCTGATGTTATTGTCAACTGATAAGGGCGTTATCAGGACAAGCTGCAGTTTCTTAAAAGGTGGCTATAAAAAGCAAAAAAAAAGGCCACCACTACTGGTTTAGAAATGTTAAAAATTATGATAAGGAAAAATGCAGAAGCAAAATTGAATTTCCTAAATTAACATTTAAGTTTTAGTCAACTTATTCTGACTTATAAAAGTTCTGTTATCACAAAATAACTTATATAGGTTATATATTTGATATAATCATTAGCATTAAAGTATATGTGACCCATCATTTTAAAATGAGGATTAAGTCAAATTTGGTCAAAATGACCTAATTACATTTTCAGATTTGTGGCTTTAAAAGCTAAATTTTGATACCAGGGTTATTCTGATATCATACACTTATCCAGAGATATGGCTTCATTTGTCTTGTTGGTTATGATAACACATTAACGTTTGGGCTGAATCCTACTTTTATGTAAATTTATTGAGTCATTTCTGATGTCAATATAAAGAGGAAACCTCAAATAGTATTTGTACATTAAGATTTCCCAGTTGGAAAGAAACAAAAACATTGCTAACTCACAGGGGAAAAATTGAAAAATTTAAGGTGTTTTTCAGAAGCATCAGTTTTTTTGTTGCTGCTGCTCAAAAAAATGCATGAAATTTTTTTTTAGATTATATTTCAGATAGTTCATTCAAATGATACATCAATAAGGCATTAATTCATTATATTTTGACAAAATGCAATTTTAAAGACATTTAAATCAAAACCCTATATCTGCCGATTTCTCCACATTCCACTTTTGGAATCAATCCTCGATGCGATGGGTCACATATATCCAAAAGAGGCTTTCAGAAGATTTTGTATTCCATCTTCAGTGTTGGAGAAATTCTTCATAAGTTGGCACAAGTTGTCAAAAACTTTACAATGTGACGAGGCCTTTACCTTGACAAAAAGTAGACAAAAGAAGTGTGCGACTTACATAATTAGCAGCACTGTCTGTCTCCTCATATTTAAGTTCAGCCAGCAGAAAACAGAGATACTCCTGTTGACTGATCAGGGGCTTGTTGTGGAAGCCATTGTAGTGCTTCTCATCGCCCAGGATGAAGGAGGTCGGCAGGGAGTCCAGTTTGGCAGCAATGTAAGCTTTGGAGGGATCCAGGTGACGTCTGCGCCTCAGGACTGGACCGCCATTTGACCTGAGCAGCTGGGGAAATGGTGAAAAATATTTAGAAAAAAAAAAAGGAAAAAAATAGCAATGCACACGTCTGACAACTTGACAAACAAATACTGTCTAAAATAATCAATTACTGCCTTGAATTTTGGAATAGCAGCAGCACAACTAACTTTCTAGAAGTTTTCATTTCTCATAATAAAAAACCTCTCAAAACCCATTTACTTGGTCCAGGTCTGGTTTTGGCTCTATAAGAGATAATAATACTGGGGAGCTAAAATGCCCTTTGCACAGTGACATAACAGCAAACAATGCAGCCAAGCTACGAAGTGAGCAATTAGTACTTGCTCCGGCACACAATCTCAGTGTGACTGCCAGCCTGGTTAATAAATGAGCAGGAGCACACAGCACTGTGGCATTGTGTTTCCAGCAGCATTTTGTTTTCTGTCAGTGATGTCTTGTGTGCTGCTCCAGATGTAGCTTTATTAAATCATTATGTTGGAGGGAGGAGACAATGGCCTGTGCAGTGTTTAATGACTCAGGGAGTCCCATCGCTTTTCCCTTTCCGTCCCTCCTGTTATTTCTACAGGGAGCCTAAACAATAACGATTCAAATCAACAAGCCTCGGAGTTTACTTAAAAAGCATGCTATTAATATTTAGGTTTGGCGTTTAGTTAAAATTTCCTCATGAACAAAAGGGGCCATTATTTAAAAGAATAATAGGGGCGAGATAATTGTTTGTCCTCAAATGAATTGTGCAAAACCGTGAATGTGAAGCTGGTAAAGGCAGATGAGTAATTTCTATATTTTTTGAGCACTGTACAAAAAAAGTGTGGTTGATCTCCACATCAGTTGTTACACAACACTAATGCAATCCTGCAAACGGTGTGACTCAACAGACGGCCACTGTTTGCAGACCTGGCATCCAATCAGGATCCTCCCCCACCTACCTGAGTGAGTCACTCTTTAAAATCTCTCTGCCCTGGAATCTGTTTTTTTTTTTTTTTTTGTTCTCTCCCCGAGCCCAGGAGGGTAAAGCTAATTAGCTCTTACTATCAGGGACGCCCTGCCCAGTTGGAACAGAAAACCCTTTTTTTTTGTGAACTCTGACCTGGGATGATAGCCAATCAGTCAGTGCCTGGCACTCACCTCATCCAGGTCTGTGATCTCGTCTGGATTCTTCCATCGCTTCGTTGATGGAGTCACCGGCACCACCACAATGTAGTACCACCTGCCAAGACAAAAAAAAAGACTTTGTAAACGAACAAAACAAATACAGGCTGGGATCAAAATGGGTCAAGTGGATTAATAATACAGTCTGCACACTGAGACGGTCTTTTACTCTTTGCTTTGTTAGGGTAGATTTAAAAATTTGAGAACTAAACAAGTGGTTCTGGACCAAGGTCGGACACCAGCAGATTGGCACTGCATTCTCCAATTAAAGGCTAATCACTAAGAACATCTGCCACGTAGGCTGGAACAAACTCTATCCCTGTGAGGGGAGCCTTCAGCTAATAGAAATCCCCACAGGATTCCTGAGGTTAATAAGAGCAGCTATGTGAGTAGCTGTGTGTGTGTGTGTGTGCGTGTTTTCATAAAGACCAGAGTAGAGGGAAATGAAAGACATTAGAAAGACATTTAGGAATGAAGGGTCAATCAAACTAAGGAGGTTAGGTGGATGAATGAGCATACATGTGAGTACAGGCTGTACTAATAAATATGTGTAAATTGTGTTTGTGTTGGCGCTCCGTTTCTCCCTCTCCTTGTTGACAAGCCCGTGTTCTCCCCGATTGGTTTTCCTCTCAGCTAAAACTTTTCTCTCCACTGCAGCATTTTGTAAAACGAGCTCGCCGCTGACAGCGAAAGCAGCTGCCTCTCTCCTCCTCTTTCCAGGCGTCGGATCTGTGATTCAACAGTCACTCAAGACTCGGAGTGAGGAAAGACGTGTATAACAAGGCTTCTCACACACACACATACAAACACACACCCCTCAACTTCCTCAATCACCTGTAAGTCTTTGTCTGTCAATCTGTGCTGGACCTGGGCCAGCCTCGACAGCCCTGTAATCTTTTTACCAATCAACACTGAGCACTCTGCTTACATCAAAGTATCTCTGCGGCTGTGTACCTGGAGGAAAAGCTTTACTTATGACCTCGCTTTTAACAATCAACGTCAAAAAGTAACACAGCTCAACCTGACGTTAAGTCTCAATTATTATCAGTAATTTTTTTTTGTATTAAGGCTAGCAGAAAGTAAATGTCAGAGTTGAAGCTTTAGAAAAGGATTTTGTGGATTTTGGTGTTTTAGGTTTCAAATAAAGCCTTTTTTAAACCAACTAAGGAAGTTCAACTCTTATTTTCTATCTGCATTAATCTATTTTATTCCTCTTTTGTAATAAAATGTGTTTCTGCTTATTGTATTGCATCATCTTTATTGACTTTTATAAAAGCAAAAACTGCCACAATGTATAATACTGACTTAAATAAGTGAATAAAATAAAAAAATAGATCCTTTTAAAATGAAAAGCAAATTTTAAACAATTAAATAATGTGTCAAATGGATCATATTTGGCTTTGTTATGAAGCATTTACTCTTTCATTCTCCCTGATTTTTTGTTTTATTTTATTTTTTTTAGCAAAAACAACAAGTCAAAGTATGTGAATCTTCTAAGTTTTTTTTGGATGAACTTTTGAAAGTGAGAAGATTAGAGTCCTACAATGAACTAGTTTAAAATTCTTTATTTATTTTAACAAGCTTTGATGCTAAAGTTTGCAAAAGAAATAGCTGAATTATTTTAGCTCATGCTGTTGTATTTACATTTCTGGTTTATGCTAGCCCCTCACACCAGCTTCTTCCTGCGTTCTCACAAACCGTCTCCAACCAAGCTGCTCTCAATCCCACACTGAGGGAAAATACAACTGCAAACACCTCGGCCTCGATCTTTTCTGGGCTTTACTCACCTGACCCTGTCGGTGGTCTGGACATTTGGCAGGCTGAGGCTGATGGTCATCCTGCCACCTTGAGCCTGATGTGTGGTGGGCTTGGTTTTGATCAGGTCAGGGGCAGTCCGGATGGACACCTGTTGCTGCAGACCACCGGCAATGTTGCCCCTACTCGTCAGAGCGAATGAGTACTCTGTGTCCGGCTGCAGCTGAGTGATCAGCTTCCTCTTCTGGTTTCCTTCCACTTCCACACTTTGCTGGTTGTATAGAATCTGCACACACAATAAGCACAGGTTAGGTCAACTGAGGAGCTGATTTTGAGAGAAAAATAAACTGAAAGTTCATAAAAAACACTTGAGTCTATCAACATTGTTCTAAACCCAACTTCTTCTTAAATTACATCACATTTTCTGGTGTCAGATTCATTCATTCTTCATTTGAGAATGCCTTTGGTCCTTTTAGCAAGAACTGAGAATTATTTTTACAATAATTTAGTAGTTTTTGAAAAATGTGTTACATAAGTGAACAGTAGTCTTTTTAAAGGAATTCAGTTTAAAACGTTGCAATTTTAGATAAAACTGTATTCCTTATTGTGCTTTTGCTTTATTCAGGGTTCCCACACCTTGGTCAACATCAAATTCAAGGACCTTTCAAGGACTTTCCAGTACCAATTCCCTCAAATTCAAGAACCACGCGTGACGGCATTTACCTACTGCAGAATGTTACCAATAAACAGGTTTAATATCATGTAAATTCAATGAACAACTGAACAACACAGACATTCGTCAGTCAGAATCAATGAAAGAAAGTGGATTAAATGTTTACCCTACATTCATATCTACAATACATGAACATGTAATTATGTCCTGGGAGCTTCAGCAGCTCAGTTTGGGAGGAGGGGATGTGAACATGTCCAGACCCTCAGTGAGGACAGGAACTGTGGTGCTCTCACCTGGGCCCAGAAAGAAAGACCCGCCCTACTCTGCTCTGACTGGCTAAAACTATGACTATGGCTAATGTTATTTGTTGAAAGCCACGTCAGTTTGCCATAATCCTGAGTTATCCACCGCAAATTAATTAATTAATTAATTTATTTATTTATTTATTTATTTTATTTTATTTTTTACAGATGATGAAAATCAGTCGTGTGAATAGAGAACCTCAATCCCCAAAAAACATTCAAGGACTTTCAAGGACAAGTGTAATTTTTGGCTGTTTTCACAAACTTTCCAAGGCCTTGAAATCATTTTTTCAAATTCACAAACTTCCAAGGATTTCAAGGACCCTTGGGAACCCTGTTTATTTCTTATCTGAGTAAGAACTTACCTTGAAAGGAGCTGGGGATTTGTAGTTTTCTGGCAAATCCCAGGTTAGAAGGACCGATGTTTTTGTGACAGCTTTGACACCAAAGTTAACAGCTGGGAAATCTAGGAAGGGAAAATCCTTTAATTAATGTCTCAAATCAAATATCAAACACACAACAAAATGTAGAGAAATTGAGCAGCCCCTTCAAATTCTAACGTGCACAAATTTAACAACTTCACCTTATGACCCTAGATGATAAGTCAAGATGTATGCTTGATTACAGATCACAAAATAATAATCCTAATCTCCATAAGCTTCCTCCATCTACAACACTTCATTCACAACAACCTGAGATCAATGAAAAAATGTGTGACAGGAGCTGAAACCTGTGTCAGAATATGTCATCAATCATTATAATTAATAAGAGACTTTACATTTATAGGATTATAAAGTGCAACAAGAAGATACATGCAGGGTACGCTTTAGATTTCTGTGTAATGGGATGGAGGACGAGGGTGCGTGGTAATGTGACTGTAGCGTGTAATGAGATTAGCACTCTATAAATCAATAAACAGTGCTGCAATACACTGTGAGTGCAAGATGAGGAAGACATGGTTCTGACAGAGACCTAACCAGTACTTTGAAGTTGGAGGCACCAGAATGAAAATTCATGAGCCGAACGGAGATCAAGCGCACTTCCATGCATGTTTTCAAATCAAACATTCCTGCAGTGTTTATGCAAAAAAAAGAAGAAGGTTATTTTGGCATCCTCCCCCATGTCCTACCATTTGACATGGTCCTGCTCTGGATGCTGGGGCTGAGGGGTCCCTCGCCCTTACTGGTGAAAGCCTGCACACGGATGTCGTAGGTGGTGTCAGGATTAAGGCCCTCGATGGTCATGTGAGTGTTGGTGGTGCGGCTGGTGTTGTCTTGCTGGTTGTTGATGTCCCTGTACACCACCACATAATGAGTGATTTTGCCGTTCCGTTCGGCGAGCAGCGGGGGTTCCCAAGTCAGCTGGGTGCTCGACTGGGTCAGACCGGTGACTTTGAGGTTGAGCGGGAAGCCCGAAGGCACGTCCTCGGCGGTGGTGATTTCCTTCACGGAGGCCTCGCCGATGCCCGCGCGGTTGCGGGCGCTCAGTCGGAACACGTAGGTGGCGCCTTTGTGCAGGCCGGTGACAGTGAAGTGGTCGTCGGTTTTTCTCAGCTCGCGCGAGGTGTAGGCTTCTTCGTCGGCACGCTTGTACTGCAGCTGGTAGCCCATTAGCTCACCCACCATTTCCATTGGTGGATTCCACTGGATCAGTGCTGTGTTGCCTATGGTGGCGCTGATCATCATGTTGGGTTTGCCTGGTACTGCAAATAATGATGAAAAAATCACTTCACCAAAAAGCCTTTTAAATGAAAAAAATATATGTACTGTATATATAGTTCAATACAGTGCTTTAGGTTCAATACACACTATGTAATTAACAATAAAGACTTTTCAAAGGTATTTTATCAATTTGTCTTCTGAAGATGCTGTGTTGAAGGTTCACTGGATCTGGGTTCGACTACTCCGCCTAAGTTGAACTGCCCAGCCCAGATCCACTGATAAACTTGCAGTTTCAGCAACATTTAATTTAAAAACTGTACTTTTGAGGTTAAACAAATGTTCATAATTAATTTAAATAAATTAGAAGTTGGGAAAAGCATGGAAATTTGTCTTTTTTTGTATTGAAATATCAAACCGTGACACTTAAGTATCGAACCAAATCCTGAATTTTCTGTATTATTGCACCCCTAATATTTATTTATGATGAATGTGTGTATGACCCATCACATGGAAATGAGTGTTAAGCCTTAAAGTGTTATTTGGAGAAATAGGCAGATAGTGTTTTGACTAAAATGTTTGCAATAATTGCATTTGGTCAACTTATAACAAATAAATGCCTCATCAGTGTAAGGCATATCATTTGAATGAACTGTCTGAAATATAATCTCAAACAAAAAAAAAAACCAAACACTTTTTAGAGCAGTACCAAAAAAGCCCTGATTTTGAGCAAAAGTGCCTCAATTTTTTTATTTCCCCTGCAAGCTAGCAAAGCTTTAGTTTCTTTCCAGCTGCGAAATCTGTGTCCAAACAACATCAAAAATTCTCTATTAAAATTAAATGAAAATAGGAATCAGACCAAATATTCATGTGTTATCGTGATTAACAAGACAAAATAAGTCATATCTCTGGAACCACTCATAAAATCAGGATGATCCAGGAATCAAGCTGTAGCTTCAAAACAACAATCTGAAAATGTGTTTAATTCATTTTGACCATATTTGACCTAATCCTCAGTTTGATGCGATGGGTCACATCTATTTATTTTGTGTGCGGATACAAAAAAATAACAACTGCCAACTGACTAACTGAACTATTTGTTATAAACAAAGTAAATTAAGCCACTGCGAGCTACTTGTCTTGTTACTGCTGACGACACCTGCATCCTAGCACTCGCATTAAATGTTAACGTTCACACCTCAGTGAAAACAATAAAACTGCCTCTGACCTGCTCCAGTTGTGGTGATGACTTTAGCTTTACTACGGGCTCCATCTCCCTTCGTGGTGTATGCTGCCACGGTGACAGAGTATGTGGTTTCAGCGTGCAGTCCACCGATAATGGCTTCCTGTAAAACAGTAAAACAACAAAATCAGTGAGCCTGAGTGAAACCTCCTCAGTGCTCGAGTGGGGGGGCTGGCGAACCTCCTGTCCCATGAAAGAACACACAACGTACAAAAGGAACCATTATGTGATAAAGCCCCTTCTCTGTTCACATTATTATTTTTAATTACCTAAAACAAAACAAAAAAAAAATCTTGAAAGTTTACCTGAAAAAGGCACACACAACAGAATCAGGATTTTTTCTTAAGACAAGGAAAACTCCTACGCCCGACTGTAAGGCACACTCTGCACCCATTAACCAACAAACCAAATGAACCAGAACATCACCAGTGTGTCAGTGTTCATGCCTGCTGCATGAATGAGCGTGAGATTACACCCAGAGGAACTTGGGATCATTGCTACACTGTCAAAATGTACAATTCTGACTAGGGAAGTATTCAAACTCTTTGAAATAAATACCTAAGATGAATTAAAATGACTATTTTAATAATAATAAAAAAAATAGATTGTTGGCATTTATTCTCCTCTGGGTGGATGTTCAAACAGTCCCGGCACAAAAACAGACACACTGAAGTGGTTGAACGTATCAGTAACTCAGCAGTCAGGAACAGACAGACAGAAAAACAACTGAGGTAACACACTGTTATTGGTGAACTGCTGCAGAGCTGCTACTCACTCCACCAGTCTGCAGCAGTTGGAATAAACACACACCCACACGCTGGAATTAAACACTCAGTGCTTCAACAAAGCATTTGTAAACAGACAAACACACACACACACACAACTGCAATACTCACCAATACATACAGCTTTGTGCAAAAGTCTTTAATCACCCCGTTTACTTCAGCATTAAAAAACAACCTTGGAACATTTTAAAATTGTATTGACCTTTTCTTAATTGTTGTGTACATTTTTACTGATTTACAATCTGGTTTTAGGTTAAAGGTGGCATTTAGTAACAATATACTGTATCTTTAACTAAAAAAAAGGAGAGGGAGAGAGAAATTTTTACAAGTCGAGGACTTAAAAAGACTCCTTTGCTACAAGGGGTGGGAATCTTTTATAATCTCATGATTTGATTTAATTCTGATTTTTGGGGTTTGATTCAAAATCAATTTTTCATTTAAAACTGATATGTTCCCAAAGTGCTTCATCTTCAGTTTGCAAACCTCACACACAGTGAAGCTCATGTCAAACTCAAGACTTTCAGTAAAAAAAAACAAAATGAGCCCAAATCTTTGCCTTCAATGAAGACAGGGCCAGTTTAATATCTCTTTCCTGCAGTTTTGTAGTTTCCTCTTTGTTTTGGTGCTTTCTGCGCATGCATGTGTTCCAGAACCGGCTGGGTAGTTACAAAATGGAGGCTGACAGTCATTGGATTTGCTTTAATTTTTTTTTTTTAGTTTTTAAAAATCAATTTTGGGAAATTTTAAATCAATTCTGAATCTTTGTAAATGAGAATCACGATTCTGATGTGAATCAATCTTTTTGGTAAGCCCCTTTTGCTACCTATTAAAAACTATTACTTATTCATTGGTTTGTTGATCAATGCAAGGATCAATTACTACAAAAAACTAATAAATAAAATAACAATTTCTTTAAGTTCACAAGTACGGAAGTAAAATGCTTCGAAATGAAGAATGGCTTGAGTTTTGCCTAATCTGTATTTAGTACGTACCTTATATAAAATGTTTTGTATTTTTTTCTATCTCGAACTTTATTGAACATTAGAAATTACAAATAAAATGACAGTAATTCAATAAATAATAATAAATGTTCAAAGGAATGGGTAGAAGTTTAACTTATAAAAACCCAGCATTTCTCCAGCAACATAACAATTACAATCTCTGCCTTTTTATATGTACTTTACTTTTACTTTACTCTATAAACTTTACTAATAACTTTTAAGTAACGTAAGAATATACCTTCATTCTACTCAGATTCATGATTACAGTGATACACTTACAAAATCCCCATATATAAATGTACTAACAACAATAATGATAATATTGATGCTACGAATGCTATAACATGTCAAGATAATTTATCATATTTAGTGTAAACCATTTCCTTATACAGTTATTTGAATTGAAATACAAAAAATCTAATTGATAATTCGGACTACAGTAAGCATAGAGATAAAATTTTGCACGGAAACACACTTAAAACAAATTGAGCACCTGAGCTTTCAGTAGCTCCAGTTGTCTGTTTTTGACTGGAAAAATCTAATATACAAATACCTGCAAGCTTTCCTGCTGGAACTCTGCTTAGATTTCACACTCAGAGTTTCATATGGCTTGGCTCTATTGCTGTTTCTCTTGCTAATGAAGGTTTTATTTCCCTAACACAGAAGAACATTCAACAGACTACAGACACAAGCTTTGTTCAACAATGCTTCTCTTTTTAAGGCACATTTAGAGCTCCCATGCCAACCTTTAAAAGAGACGGATGGAAAAAAAAGCTGCTAAATTGCTGTATAATAAACCCATTTTAACTTTATGGAGGAAGTCTCATTACTTTAATCATATAAAAATGGCTCTAACCATCACAGCAATGGCAGCTGCAGAGATTCTCCCCTGCCTCGGCTCTGGCAAGGTCGACTCAGGTCTGGTAAGACTTTTGAAACTCAGCACAAACTAAAAAAAGCAAAGCTTCAAAGTTTTCCTTCGGAGCAAATGCTTAGAGCAGCACCAAAGGGCATTACAAAGATTATCAAGTCAACTAGTTATAGAAATGGATTCTTCTCTGTAAAGCTTTCTCCACTTCTATCCTCAGTGAAGAAGAAAATGTCAGGAAAAAAAAACTGGGCGACTCAGGAAAAACAAATATTGCTTCTCTTTGGCCAACAGTGTGTAATGTTTCCTATACATCTTGCTTTGCACTAATAGTGGGATATGTTTAACTGAACTTTTAAAAATAGCTTTTCAAATTTTACTGCCTGTAAACAAGGCATGGGTCAACGAGACACACTAATGTTTCTGCTGCAGGCATCTGTCTGTGGCTTGTCACACTACATTAGTTACCGGGCAAACAGTATGCTAAGGAAAAAAAAATAAATAAATAAAATAAAGATGTGTGAACAGACAACATCCTCTGACAGCATCTAGCTTGGTGTCTGTCAGGTGTTAATCAATGCAATAAAAGTAGAGGGAGACGAGCCAAGCCTGACTCATCGTGGGTTTGGAGCTGAAGGAATCTGTTTACTGTGAGGCCAGCTTTCTGTCGATTATCGGGTAAATACAACAAGCTGAACACACCCTGCTGGTTTAAGGGGGAAAAAAATAGACTCAAGCTTTACCAATTTACCTGTTTGACAAGCTGGCACTGAAGCTGCTGCAATTTTCCATTTGAGGGTTGCACCAACTGTCACAGGTGTGCCGCACAGGAGGTTTAGCGTTTCTGACAGTTTGGTAAAGTGTAGCTGAAATAAGTTTAACGAATGTTTTGATCCTATTTTTATACTAAAATGGGTAAAACTGGCCAATCTGATCTTTTATCGTAGTTTTGTGACAACAGATTTACTCCATCTCATCGCAAACCAACAAGCAGGTGGTTAATGTGTTGATTAACCACTTTTTTTTAAAATACGTTAGCAGAAACTGGGAGTAAAATTGGTCCCAATTATTCCTTTCATACGCTTTCCCGAGAGCCGTAAACCTCTTTGCTAAAGATTTCTTTCCTCATTGTTTGAATACTAAAACCCTATTTGCTAGTGAGGCGAGCTTTCATTGAATGTCTGACTAGGAACAGTAAGAGGCTCTGCATTTATGGCTCTGCAATATGACGTCTAGGAGGTAATAAGCCATAACAAAAGGGCTGCATGACAGCCACGGAGCAGCGAGCTGCCATCCGAGCAAATGAAAAGAACATGAAAGGCTGGTGGAAATCTCAGATGTGTGGAGCTGATAAAACCCACAGCTCCTCCCCTTAGATAGACATGTCATCTGGAACGGTGGTGGAGACAGCAGGTTAGGCGAGCCTGATTAATGTCAGCATCGCACTAAGACAGTGCCACACAGACTTTCACTGCACGGAAAGCAGTCTATGCACACTGCACTGCAGGCCTCATGCTTGCAAGTTCACAGCTGTTACTAGTTTGTCTTATAGTGAAATGTTGACCTGTGCACAGTCCTAAGGGAAACATAATACTCACGCTCTGCAGTAGTAGTGCTTTGTTAAATATCATGCAAACACACGTAAAACCAGAAAACCTTTGCGCGCACGCTTCTTGCTGTGGTTGTGATAAGGTTATGATCTTTCATGTTGATTCACGCCTAGTGGATTACAGGCATGGCTTACACACAAATAAACACACACACACATACAAACCCAAACACAACCAACTTATGATCCAAAACACACAAGCAAACACTGCACCCCCCAAAAAAAAAACTGCAGAGAGGAGAAGAACCTGCCCTGCAAGAAAACCCAGCAGCACACATGGGGGTTTACTCACATGCTCGGTGGACTCTTCAATATTCCACTGATGGGAGAGAAGACAAAGGACACAGGGCGGGGAAACAAATGAGTCAGAAACAACACAACAGGCATGGAAAAAAAGCACTCGTCTTTTTTTCACTGACAGATGAATGTAGGTGTCAACAGAGTCATGCTGTGGAAAAAAAAAATCTAATAGAAGAGATGGAAGGGGAAAAAAATAGGAAAAGTTGGCTGTTCTAAACCAAATTGGGGAACACAGCTGAGTAATGATGGTAAAACTCATTATTGTTCATAATGCACTGCCTTGTTTCAGTAGATTGGGAGCAACTCTGTTAGGCGTGATAACTACCTCATTGTGGACAGAAACTATGCAGAATCTGTGAAGCATTTCCTTCTTTCCTTCAGCAGGAACGAAGGAAGACCTTTTTATTCATTACATTTCAATATATGTTTCCAAAATGTTCTCCTCGCTTGCTGTGCTTGGCCAAGCAACTCCTGGGGGAAGTGAAAGCCCATTTTGTGCCGCGGGGCTCCGTCAGCGTCGAGCATGAAATCCTATTACCAGCGTCGCTATGTTAGCCCTGTGACATCAAACCCCACTGATGCAGAACGCAAACGGCTGGTGTTCACCAGCGCCGCGCTCCGCATTTCAGTCAGAGCAGAGGAGTTCACTGATGGGTGGCCCGACTGTCAACAGGGCAGGGGAGATGACTCTGGTGACACTGATGGAGGGTGGGGGGCAGAGTGGAGAAAAGAAAGGGAGTGGGGTGGAGGTGAAGATGGGGTTGGTTTCTATTGTATGAGTTGCTAGTGGACTTCAGCAGTGGCTGGATACCCATTGGATGAAATAAAAATAAAAAAAAGATTAGTGTTTTTAATTACCATATTTATTTGTGTATAATACGATCTCATGTATAATACGACCCCCCTTTTTGAGCTTAAAAAGCATAAAAAATTTATCCTCAAACTACCTCCAATTTCATACAAACTTCAAGATTTTTCAGCCTTTTCAGTCTTTATACATCTCAGTAAAATGATCATTGGACTGTTCATTTTATTTTAACAACATATGTACTAAAAGGTATTTTACAACAAATATATATCAGCTGTCTGGCATTTTACACATAGTCCACCAGGAGGCGCCAACACAAAAGTCAGACACTTCACATGAGATTTGGGCCATCTTGTGGGGGAAAAGCAGATTACTTCCTACTCGTGAGCACCCCCTCTGGTGGGGAAACTTTTTTTTTCAGGGATAGAAGCTTTTTCAGAACGCCGTAGACAGCCGCCATTACAGACGAATGTGTTTATTGTTGTTCCAGGAGCGTCTCAGTCACATGCTAATATCATTAGTTCGTTATCATTACTGAGCTGCAGGACTACATCCCCCCCCCCCCCCTTTTTTTTTCACATCATGTCGCCTGCCTAGATCTGTTATCTCACTCTGAAGCATGGAGGAGTGTCAGAGGTAAGCTTGTTTCAACTGCTTTTTACAACGCGGTCTCATTTCCGGACTGAGGCATTTTGCCAATATTTCAGTTAAAATACACAAGTAAAAATATTTATCCGAGTATAATACTACCCCCCAAACTTTATGGATGATTTTATGGATTAAATTTTACGTATTATACTTGAATAAATACGGTAATTAAAGTTTTAAACAGTTTAAATCGCAGACATTAGCACCCAAAGAAAAACCTGGAGAAGAGTCAAACTTCCTGATAGACAAACTATCGTTTTTTGCAATTTCAGAATTTCTCAATTAAAAGACAATGTTACACACGAGTGAGTCACTATGCAAATGCATCACTCACTGCTGACGTTACCATAAGAAAATATAAAATAACTAAAACAGTCATCCTTTGTTCCTTTATTACCAACTAGATAAGTGAAGCACGAGCCTCTCAGAGGTCCCAGTTGTGACTAGCTGAAACACATGGCACATCAAAAATTGCAGCCTTGTGCTGCCTTGACATAGCGGGGCACTAAAAAGTACCATTTAAGAACAGCTGCCGCTTAACTCCATGACTAACAATTTGCGATGTTCGTAATTGCTTAATTTGTTTGCCATCAATTTAGCTCAGTGTGTCAACAGAACAGCAAACACTTTAAGGTTTGCAAGTTCCTATCTCATCTTGGGCGTAATCCCTTTCTACGGCAACTCCGTTCGCTTTCTGTTTAAATCCACAGGAGAATTATAAATTATCCTCCTTTTATATTTTGAATACCAACGCAAGCTGAAAACACATCATTGCTGATAAGCGTCGTTTGTGGAATCGAAGCGGTATAATTTGCAGGCGGGTGAATGCAAATGTGATGACATGGGCTGAGATGTGTGGCTATAAAAACGGGAACGAGAGGAGAACGAGTGATGTGGAAGAGAAGGAGCTGTCATGATTGATAGAGTGAAACAGGCTGAGGTGCTTCTTTTCTCGCCTTTTTTTTACCTCAATTTCCATTCAACTCCAGTCCGGGGCGGTGAAGGCCGTGGACGCAGTGAAGCATCACCTCGCCCGCATAAACTACAAAAATGCATGAGTGGTCAAACCAAATGAACCTGGAAAGTAGTGCTGAATAGAGGCAAACTTGGGCAGAAAGGCACGCTTGGGCCAAATTTGAAAAGAGGCAAAGACAGAGGGTAATAGCTTAAATTGTTCAACTATTTTCTGCAAAATGTTGTAGATGTATATAAAAGCGTGAGCCTGGATGTAGCTGCAAGGAACGCAGTCATGGAAATGGCTGTGTGGTGTGAAGTTGCCAACTCAGGTTTGGGTCAGTATTTTTTTCTAACAAAAGCATGGTTGTAGAGGGGTTGATAACATCACACTCTTAACACGGCCTCTGGTTTAAATTTAGCAAGAAAATGAGGGCGATGTGTGGGCTCCTGCTTGAAAAGAAAAGAAGCGCTGCAAGTGCCCACGCATAGGCGAGCTCTCCTAGCTCTACTCACAGCATTTGAGCTAACCCTGAGAGAAGGTGAAAAGAAGCCAAAAACGCAGAGACAAAAAGAAGGGGAAAGACGATAGTGATTTTGATGGGCTCTGCAATCCAATCTGCCAGCTTAGAACAGTGATTGAAGTCTAAGGTGAGGCTGTGGTTTGTTGTTAGAGACCTGGAAAATTTGGATTTTGTTTTTTCCTCCTGGCAGGCTTACTGTGCTTCCAATTCAGGTGAAAGGGTGGCTGTGGAACCGATTTCACAACACGTTAGGGAGATTCATCGGTGAGATATCTTGAGATGTGCCAACGTAGAGGAAAACAGTTTTTTCCCTCTTTATTCATCTTCAATTACAGGTGTGTGCATGAGGGATTTGCATAAATCTTAGATGAGTCATGAACTCTTTATGACCAGCTGACACGCCTGTTACAAGGTTGATCTGTACAGGAAGCATGTTGGCCCTTGTTATCTGTCTGTTTTTCCCCTTCCCACTTGTTCTTGTGGGTGTGTGAATAAAAATGTGTGAAAAAGGAGGGATTGTTCTAAAACCAGTCAGGCGAAGATGCATAAGGGACTGTTGGCTGACTGTGTGGTCTCTAATGATGTCTGGGCAGGTCCTTGCAGGTTGGCTACTCAATGAAGTCTTCCAGAAAACAACCTGTTGAGATGACTCAACCGAGGGGAACTGAACTGCACGCAAGCCTCTGGTAATTACTCAACCCATTTTGAAGCAGGACGGGGGCAAAATGAAGCCACGGCAGAAACACGAGTTTAATCTTGGAATAAAAAATAAAAAGGCAGGAAAAATCAGGTGACATGAGAGGAAATTCCAGGGTCTGACATAGGAGAGGGGGTGGTGGGTGGGGTGATGGGGGGCAATATGTTTGAACCGTGCCCCAGACACAGAACTGGAACATGCGAGCTATACTGAGCACCAAATTACAGTGTGTCTTTGTGTTTATCGTGCGAGCATGCCACAAATGAGACGTGGCAGGGAGTATTGTTTGCATAACAAGTAGGGTCATGTTCAGTTCGGTTTTCACAACTCAAAACAAAATCAAGCGGAACACGTCGACATGAAGAAAACACTTCTACAATAGCAGGCAACCATAATGTTTTCCCTTTTTTTTCTTTTTTTTCCACACTGAACAGTGCCGTCCTGGCTGTCAAGCGGTTCTCGTACGCAGTCAGATAACAGCGAAGTGTCAGCAGCAGCTGCCAAAATCTACGGCTGTAAAACAAGATCTGGGATGTTATGCTGGTCAGATCTTTGACCCGAGTGTAGAGAAATGGCATTCTGAGCTAACTTTGGTGAAAATAATTAACCTAATGAGAGAACCAGATGGTGTAGGATTTACTCTCAGAAGAAAAACAATAAATCTGCACTATATTTATTGATATTTAGAGAAGCAGTTGGGATCCATAAGCTTGGGATCAGTCTAGGGATGCACCGATATGAAAATTTTAGCCGATATCGATATCCGAAATATTTATTGCTGTTACGGCCGATAAATATTTACCGATATTACGCAAACACACAAATTATATTATAAATATACGCACAAACACACTTGGGTCTTTTTTGATATGGTAAATAATCGACCAGACCTCTGACATGGCTCCCTACTTCAGTTAGTCCTGGCTACACTCCATCACTAACACTATCATGATCAAACAGATGCCGCTCAACCAGCCATCTCCCCTCCCAAAACAGAAAAAAAGCAAAAACATGGAAAATCGATAACAGACATTAATATCGGCCCAGTTTTACATATCGGACCAATACCGATATTTTAAAAATGACCAATATCGGCCGATACTGATACCAATACCGATAGACAGTATTGTGCATCCCTAGATCATTCATACCTCAAGTACTTCTAAGCATTTCTTCCTTTTCTGTAATGATGAGACTAAAGCTGAAAACATACTCCCTGCGAACTGCCGACGTCGGCACGGGTTGTCGCAGTTTAATGATGAAAATTTCATCACTGGGCTTCGCAACGTCGTGTCGACAGCCCCTTTTGTCACAAGCCCCCGGCAGAACTTTTTGACCCCCCTCCCTTGTCGACGGTAATGTGTGATTGGTCTGAACTGAAAGTGCTCGGACGGACACGGCAGTAGAAAAAAAAAAAACTCGCTTCTGACTAGAGCAGACTGTTTTGAGCAGTTTTAAAGACAGACAAACCGAGAAAAACTCATGCATGTTTGTGCTGCATTTACTTCAACCACTCGGTTAAAAAAAGGGCGGAAAAAAAACCCCGACTCGCTCCCCGAGCCGAACAGGAAGCAGAGTTTTATAAAGATAGTAAACCCGTGAAAAACTTATGAATGGAGATAAACAGACATAACAGATAAACAGGCAGAGAGGAATCTGAAACTGTGGAGCTTTTTAACCAGGACAGATGTGGATAAAAATCCGTCGGGTGAGTGAAATTTTTTCCGCATTACTGTTGAGGGAGAAATTCCATGCAGTGACATATGTTTCAGCGGGAGGGAGGGGTTTCCCCGAGCTCGTCGGCGCAGTGTGCAGGAACTATGAAAGGTCTGTGCGAAAACGACTGCCGACCAACCACGTGACCGCGTGTCGACCCGTCGGCGTCGGAGCGAGTATGTTTCCACCTTTACGACAACTGGTTGTTTGGTGAAATAAAATGAAGTCAATAGTTCCACCCCAAGGGCACAACAGCTGTCTCTGCCTGGGAACTGAACCAGCAGCCTGCTGTTGCCCTTTATTAGGAAACACAGCTCAGACAAACGCGAGGCTGTCCAGACTTTCTTTATGTTATTTATATAGCCAGTGAACACATGATTGTTCAAATTACATGCTTTTGTTGAAGGCAACTGAAGGTGGGAGTGAGTATGTTTGTTTTAATGTTTGCTCCCAGCAAACAATCAGACCAAGGGTATTAAGCTGGTTTCTTCTAAAAGCAGAATAACATAGGACTCGGGCTTTCTTGGTTTTAAGATATTCATGAATCTCTGAGTTGCACTTAAAGATTACAATCTTTTATCCATCTCATGGTGTTGCACAGCTTTTGGCAATTCAGTTCAGCCCCGCATTAACATGTGAAAGGCGGCGTTGGGGGAAATAACTCTAATTTATAAACATGGTAACAAGGCAGTGCATATGTATTACTGGTGAAACTGCTAAAAGAGCTGCATTGATTCCGCTAAGCCATATCCTGATGCTGCACAAAAAATATCTAACAGCTATTACTGTAGAATTTAAGTGGATTTTGTTCCGACAGCTAATCCAAAGCTGTAGGAGCAGGGTACCAATTTAGAGTCAAATGTCACATGTGGAGAAAGATTTAAAAGAAAAAAAAAGACAGAGGAAGGATACTGGAGTCGACAGAAAGAAAGTTCTGAGTGTGTCACCAAAAAAGAGAGAAACAAAGTGTGAAGTCAGACAATAAGAGGAGAGCAGAGAGTGGAAATTATAGGAAGTCTGCACAGGATAGTCACAGTTTAGAAAGGACAAAGAAACACCGGAAAAGAGTGAGACGCCATCTTGTACCTGTGCTTCTGGCAAAGCAACATCCATGATGTTGGGCTGGCCTCGCGGCTCGCCGTTTTCGAGTCGGGAATAGATGACCTGGTAGCCTCTGATTTGGCCGTGCTGCTTCATCTGCAGAGGTGGCTTCCAGGTGACTCGGATGGCGGTGGAATTTAAGGCCTCAGCCTCCAGCTTCCTGGGGGGCGCTCCGGGCACTGGAAACCAAACAATGAGACAGATGAAAAGGCAGAAGCAGACACCGCAAAGAGAAAAAGGGGAAGAGAGCCGAGAGTCAAAATATGCTGAGATGGGGATTTTTCCCAGTTCACTGAAGAGGATCCAAAAAACTATTTAAAATAATTTTTGCAGACAGAAGAAATACTAGAGCTGAATCAAATCCTCTCTGCTCGTTTCAGATAATTCAAGACCATCGTGTCCCCAAACTACCCCATATGCAACAGCATGTAGTCTTGTAACTATAATGAACTTAATTTCAGTATAAAATTAGCTGTGTTGCGGAAAACTTTAAACACGTTAATTATAGACCACTCTCTCTTGGGATAATCCACCTTCTATTACATAGCAAACAAACAAAGAAAAGAAAAAAAAACAGAGTGGAAAAAGACAAGAACAGCCGAACAGAGAATCAAGATCTGTTCCACTTCTGTTGCTCAGCACATAAAAAGGAAAGCGGGGAAGCTTTCAAACTGTGGAAGCAGAGGAAAGTGACACAGAACTAAAGCCCAGGAGTGATGAAGCTTCTGTAAGCACTGGAGCTGTAACAAACAAGATGGAGAAAGGAAGACAGAGGAAGGTGATCCCAATCATTACCACATCATTTATCTACAGGACAAAGATAATTAAGCTGTAAAAAGCGAAGGAGATGGGAAAACGGTGGCAGGCGGCAGTAAGGAGCAGAGATTGTTACACTGTGAGACCTACCATCTTCTTTGGTTCTCATCTTCACAGGGGCACTCTCAGGGCCTGGGCCCACATCGGTGTGAGCCATCACCCACACCTGATACTCAGTCCACTTCTCCAGGCCTTCCAGCACGCAGCTGGTGGCGTCTGCGCCGATGTCAGGCACATCATGCCGCTCCGTGTCCTCTCCAGTCAGGGCCTGGTATCTGACTGTGTAGCGCACAATGGCGCCGTGGCGGCTAGCGGCTGGCGGGGCCACCCAACTCACCTTGAGGCTGGTGGAGCTCAGGCTGAGCAGGTGTACATCCTGAGGTGGGGCGGACGGGGCTGTAGTGGGGAAGGAGGGGTGGGCGGGCGAAACCACACGAAGGAAGGGTACGGATCAAGCAAACAAAACAGAAAACTACAATGCGCACAAAAAAACACTACAAAACAAAAGAAGCTTTTTGCACTGTGCTCTGTAATGTGACCAGAAAAGCACGTTTTCAAAAATGAACACTAAAAAAGCAAAACTTTGTTCTAAAGTTTGGTGTTCTTATGACATTGTGCAGACTTGTCCCTGCACAAAAAATACAGAAAATGCAAGTTTACATATGAAATACAAAATTGAGTTCGAATGCAAAAAGCTTCCATATTAAACAGGATGCTACCTCCAGACTGAGAGATTGGATGCGAAAACTCATTATCGGGCTACAGCTGAAGCTGTGTTTGGCGCACCACGTTTATGCAGAAGGCAGTGAAACGGCAGGGTGAGGCGGACAGAATGGAAGATGTGCCAAAATTTTACGAGGGAGTGTTTTTTTTTATGAAGATGTAATTTGTCCCTAACCACCCTCCATGCTGCCTCTTGCAGTGAGCTGAGGGAGTAATAAACAGGCCAAAGATGTGTGAGCTTGTGAACAACTGCTTGACAGTGTTGACTGGTGTTAACACATTGATGCAGAAGCTCTAGGCTTCATAAGAGAGTTTGGCTGCAGCCAAGATGGGGGCAGTTACACACACTATACAGCCTTAATTTTACGATCAATAACACTCAAGACTATTCAAGCTAACATCTGCTTTGTTGCCACCGGCATTCAAGACAATATTATTAACAGCTGGAAATAAAATAGGAAAAAAAATGCTCAGGTAAAGCATACAACTTGTCGCTCTGTCATTTACTTGCATATTTATTATAGCTAAACCGATAATGTTAACGCTAAATGTTCGCTTGTATCAATTTCCACTCATACCCACCTCACACTGTCATGTTTCATTATTTAAATCAAAAACACAATTCTCTGATCCTCTGGCATTAAACAAATATTACTGAAACAAAGAACCAGCGGTGCAGTAAAAACATGCAAACTCTCAAGCCTAGAGGTAAAAAAATAAACATTTTAAAATGCACAACAGGTACAAAACTGAACTTAAATACAACATTCACACATTTCATGCACCAAATTCAATCACGAAGCTATTCAGCTTCTTCAAAAAAATGCCTTCTTTTAAGGAGAATCAAAAGAAGCGAGGGGAAAGAAAGAAAAATGCTCATGGAATGTAGAATGATTCTAACAAATTAATACGAGAACACAGCATCTTTACAAAGAATAAAGCTCAACAGAAAGAGATGTGAGGCTATGGAGTGTAGAGAAAACTACAAAGGCTCGGCAGCGCCCGGTGTATTGAAGAAAAGGTGGCAGACTGAATCAGAAAAGTTCTGATGATTTTTGAGGATTGATTCTGGGATTGAGTTCTTGATGAAAAATCTGCTGGATCAAAGTCAAAGTAGACGCGAGAAAAGGATAACGCCAAAGGAAATACGAAGCCTAAGAGGCAGTGATCTGGGGACAGGCTAAAACTAGGATTCATATATAATTAAAAAGGTTGATAGATTATTTGAGCCTTCAGAAATTTGACGAACGGGCATTTGTTTTTTGTTTTGATCTTGAACAGAATTTCAGACGTTAACTATCTAAACTTAGCTTCCACCTTTCCTTCTATAGTACTAAAATAGATTCATCCTCCATTTTAATTTTGGCAAGCAAGATAAAATCTGACAGCGAACTGCATCTCGACCTATTGATTTCCAGAGAGCTTAATCCCTGTTAGATTTATATATTTTCCTATTCAATTTTAGGTCAAGTATTCTGCAGCTGTGTCAAGCCCTTAGCTAATTTGAGAAGAACAGAATACTAAAAAAAAAACCAAACAAACAAACAAAAAAAACTGTACAGAACATTCAGATGCAGCCCAGAAAATGTCATAATTTCTCACCGACTGTTTGCCTCGGAAACTTCCCAAGGCTGTTCCTTTTTTCATACGCACCACCCTACCGCTGCATGAAATTTAAATTCATTTCACTCAATTGTTGTTTCTCCTTTAAGCAGGAGGCACAAGGACGTGAACTCATTTTACTACTCATCTTTGTGAGGCCAAGCTGAATAGAGAAACCTGACGAAGACACTAAATTATATATTTTGGAAAAAAATAAGCAGGAAGTGATAATGTGACTGAATCCTGAATCCAAACTTACATCTCTCATGGTAACTTAAGGAGACAATAACATTAATCTGAGAACACTTGCGTGTGAAGTAAAAATGTTTTTAAAATATTTTTAAATATTACATATGTACTAAAAAGTTCCTAATGACAATCTGGGCTTTTTGAATCCACTTTCCCCTTATTGTGCTCCACAGTGTTTTGTCCACTCCTTCCTACGTGTCTTGCAGCACGACTCAACAGCCAGGAACATACAGCAAATTCAAGGGGAACTTGAAATCTAAATGTGCGCACTGGTGCGAATGCACACAAATCAGCTGCCGCTAATTAACTTTAATTCCATGATTAACTTTAATTAATCATTGCATTCCAATCACATTCCATAATTAAACATGCCTGTTGTTGGGTTTGTTTGCTCTCTGAAAGCCGGAGTCTGTACTCGGCCAACAATCTTTTTTGTGAAAGAACAAGCTCCACATTGTGCCATCTCCAAGCGGCCACAAATCGAGTGTTTGACTCTATTGTTCCGACTCTAACCGAGTGACGTGTCCTCTTTTTGGTCCATCGCATCAAGTCAGTTTTAGGAGTCGCGCGATGTGGAAAACTGTTCATTTTCCCAAATTATTGCAAAAAAGGTTTGGTGCCATATGTGTTCGTTTCTCTTGAAGCTTTGAGCAAGACATGCATGTTGTGCACACAAGCCTTTTGAGGAGTGGTGCAAACATGCATCCACGGCAAAAACAAAACACACACACGAAAAAAAAAGTAAGTGACATTTTGAGAGGTGGCACTGTAAAAGCACATAATGATATGAGGCGAAACAACACAGCACAGCTACAAATGTGGGAACAAGACACATTAAACGTACCTTTGACACAGGGCCTGCTCTCAGATAGATGGACAGGAGGGTTAGTGCTGGTGACAGGGAAAGGGGGGGAGCAGGAAGCTGACCGGGATGGCTGCACTGTCAGCATTTTATGTTCAGCCGAGACTGACTTGACATTTAAGTTGCTCACACTCTGTTTTAAGGCTTTCAAAAAACTCATATTTTCTCTCGCACTTACTGAACAAAATGACCTAAACCTGTTTCAGCCACCTGTATGTGACGCTCTGAAATCACTGGTTAGTGGGTAACAAGCAGATAGGACAGATGGTCAGGAGAGGGAGGAAAATGGGGCACTTACTTGACTGAGCGGTGCGAGCCTCAATGGGCTGAGTGTAGACGCCTAAACCCATTTCAGAACGGGCTGCCAGGGAAAAATGGTACAAGGTGTTCGGCTTTAAACCATCCACATCGTAAGAGCCAGCTGGGTCGAAAGTCATATGTTTCTGGGGAGTTAGATTTGGACAGTAAGATGGTAAATAACAAAGAAAAAAAGTGAATAGCTCAAGTCTATTCATGTGGTAAGATGTTTTGCTATAGCAAGATGATTTAATCTTCCACTGAAATCCTATCTGTCATACATGAATGCAATGGAATACAGCTGAATTCGAGAACATCGTGTTCCAAAAACAACTTGCCTTCAAGTTTCCTACTTGTACAGTCCAACAAAGTTAACAAAAAGCCACCGCAGAAGTGAGATAATGCACTGTGTGCGTCTCTGCATTAGCACTTTCTCATCAGCTGGGGAGCTGACTGCATTACTACAACAACACTGCCTCAGATGACACTTCTCATTCAGAGGAATTGCATCATAAAAAGCCAAATTTATCCATCTGTAGTTTCACTACGAAATATGAGACATTCAGCAGCAAGATAGAGTGATAACAGAGATGCTGAGTGAGAGAGAGGCCTAGAATATGAAATAGTAAGACTTTCATCTTGTTATTCTAACCTTGTTATTTGAGCCGGCCTCCCAGTACTGCAGCTCATACTTAGTGATGGGGTCCTGTACGGGCCACAGCCAGGTTAGTTTGATGCGGGTGTCTAGCTCAGCTTCGGCCTCAAAACTGGACGGCTGGGCAGGCACTGAGGCAGGGAAGGAGAGATGGGTTAGAGGAAAAATAAGAATCAAGTTCATTGTTTTTTTTTAAATACACAAGCATGCATTTAGAAGCAGTTTTTAACATAACAGTGAAGAAACGATGCCAGTTTTTACACACAAAGAACTAAAAGCCACACAGGGTGGCATGCTGCTCACCTCCCTGCTGTGTTTTGACTTGCAGGATTTCAGAGGGTGGCCCATCACCTACCGAGGTGAAGCCCAGCACCCTGAGGCTGTAGGTGATATCAGGAGTCAGCCCTGAGATGGTTGTCAGGCTGCTATCGTCCGTGTTGTGTTTCTGCCAGGCGCTGAGTGGAGCTTTATTGTCCGGGCTGTAGTAAACCCGGTAACCCCTTATCTGTCCGTTGGGCTCTTCGGGAGGCTCCCACTGGACCAACATGGTACTGGCACTCAGCATGCGTGCCTGAACATGCAGAGGTGGCGAGGAGGGGGCCTGTTCGCCGGTGCGCGACTCCACGGGGTCGCTAGGCGGCCCACGGCCAATGTTGTTGACGGCCATGACACGAAACTCATAATCAGAGTACGGGCTGAGGCCACCGATGCTGTAACGTGTGGTAGCAACACCCTCCACTTCCTGAAAGCCATTGTCTGAGGACTTGGCTTTGTACTGGATCATGTAGTAAGACACAGGTTCCGGGTTTCCAGAGTCCCATGTGAGAGTCACACTGGTGGCTGTGGTCTCAGTCACTGTGAGTGAGGTGGGGGGTTTTGGTAAGGCTGTGGAAGGAGAAGAAAAGTATTACATTGGATTATCACAAATGGACTTGTGAAGTTATTTCAGGACAAATTGGACTTCTGACACATTTGATGCAACAATTCTAAAGATGTAAGCACAATACGGCTAAATAAGTTCATGTGGAGGAAAGAAACAACGAGTCGTGCAGTTCTCTATTATGTTTCTCATAAGGCTGAAGTGACTGGTTCATAAGCTAATCCTTATAGCCCTGTCAGGTGCAATTATCCCAAAAGGAATAGAAAGGCTAGAGTGAAGTCACAATTTGGTGCTTAATAATTGGCCTAGCTATTACTGACAATGCAAGAAAATTGCAAGAGTAGTTCCTGTTGCTGCAAATGCAAACCAAACAGAGGGTCCACATTAAGGCTTCCTTGGGGAAAAAGGTCTGTATTGCTGTGGTCCCACTAATGACTGTGACATTTTGTGTATCGATCAGCTGAGTGGAAAGCGAGATCAATGCAGACAAATACTGATACTAGAGGTTGTGATAGGTAGACAACACAGCTTCAGAGTCTCACACACACACACACACACACACACACACACACACACACACACACACACACACACACACACACACACACACAC